GGCTGCGCGGGGCTCCCGGCGCCGGGGGACCATGCGCCCGGCCGCGCGGGCAGCCCGGGGACCCGGCGCAACTTGCCGGGCAGCCTGAGGAGTTGGGGCGGCCGCGGTCTCGGCGCCGGGGCTCCCGGCCCCTTTCTTCCCCCTCGCCAGACCCCCTCCTTTTCGGCCGTGGGGGTGGGGGCTCGTGTCCCCCTCCCCGGAGGCCAGGTCTGCCCCCACCGGGTCCGGTCCTGCTAAGCCACACAACTTCCCGGGAGCCGGGACCAAAGTGAGCGCAAAGTGCTGCCCAAGTTGCCGGGATGGAGCTGCAGAGCCGGCCCGAGACGCTCGCCGTGGAACTCGCGCGCCACCAGGTAGGTGCCGGGGCCCCGGAGGGGACCGGGAGGCGGTGTGTGTGTGTTTAAGGGTGGGGGATCGGGGACCCGAACCCACGTCCTCCGTCTCACGCTGGATCTCTGACTATGGTGTCGGGAGGGAATTCCTTTCTTGAGCCTGCCAGAGGCGTGAGGGGGGCTAGTGTGCGCAGGCACGGACACCCCTCTGAGCTCCCCCTCCTGCGCAGTCCTGCACAGTTTGAGGGGTCGAGGGCTCTTTAGACCCGAGTCCGCATCTTAATAGAAGCAGGATTTGCGTGACTGAGGGTGCCGGGAGGGGTCCCTTGGTGAGCTTGACCCAGGGAGGGGAGTGTGAACAGACCCCCTTCCGGCCTCCCCCTGCGGCCCCCGCGCCCGGTGCAATTCTGCACTGTCTGCAAAAGTAGTTTTGGCGATTGTTGCTCGCGCGAGCAGCGGCGTGGCGGCCGGAGCCCGAGCGGTATTGCGGCGTGCGCGTGTGTGTGTTGGGGAGATTAGGACGCGACTTGAATATTTATGAGCTTTGCTCGACACGGACTCGCCGTGTTTACTTGGCTCTTTGTTCCTCCCCCCTCCCCCGGCACACACTCACACTCACACTCACTCGCACACGCACCCCGGCCTGCAAACTTGCACGGCTCGGGGCGCGCCGCCGGGTGGCCTCGGCCCCCGCCC